ACCGCTGATAGGTTGCCCCAGCATTTTTTAAACCGAATGGCATCACCCGATAACAGTAGTTGGCCGATTCAGTGATGAAAGCTATTTTCACCTCGTCCTGTGGGTGCATTCGGATTTGATTGTATCCCGAATAGGCATCCAGGTAAGTTAACAGCTTATGCCCTGCCGCCGTCGACCAATCGGTCAATGTTAGGCAATGGGTAGGCATCTTTGGGGTAGGCCTTATTAAGGTTGGTGTAGTCCGTGCACATTTTCCATTTTCCATTGGGTTTCTTGACCATGACCACATTTGCTAGCCAAGTGGTATATTGCACTTCCCGAACGAATCGGGCTTGCAGCAGTTTAGCAAGCTCTGATTCAACAGCTACTTTCCTTTCCGTTCCCATCTTCCTTTTTCGTTGAGCAACCGGTTTGGCTGCCGGGCAGATTGACAATCTATGGCACATAAAATCTGGGTCTATGCCTGGCATGTCCGACGGTGCCCAGGCAAACAAGTCTTTGTTCGAGACGATCACTTTGCTCAGTGCGAGCCTCTCGGTTTCCGACAAGTCGATCCCGATGTAAGTGACTTGGGATGGTTGCGAGCTGATCTGCAAAGGGACTTTTTCTTTTATCGGTTCTGCCCGTTCGTCATTCAATCTTGGATCGAGATCCCATGTTGGTACTGACTCCGAGGACTGAGGAGTTATGGCATGAACTCACCTTGACTTTGCTAGCTTTTCCTCGATAGGGGGTATCCGTAGACTTGCGAAGTAACATTCCCGAGCTGCCTTCTGGTCAGCGTGGATGGTGAGAATGTTTCCTTTATCAGATGGAAACCTCATGGCAAGATGTGGTGTCGAAATGATGGCCCCTAAGACATTTAACGAGGGTTGACCAAGTAGTATATTGTATGACGTGTTGGCATGGACGATAATATACTTAACTTGTATATCCCGATGTTCCTTTTCATCAAAGCAAAATCGAGTGAAGAGTTTGATGAACCCCTTGGTGTTGACCCTTTCCCCGGAGAAGCTGACAAGCGGCTCGTTATAAGGAGTCAGTTCCTCTTTGGGAATGCCGAGCTGCTTGATGGGGTTTCAGGCTATAATTTTAAATAAAAATAAGTAGACGTTAATTATAAAAGTAAGTACATATAAATAAATAATAATTAAATATATTATTATTATTAATTATTATTATTTGTAATATAAAATTATTATATATTATTATTATAGTATAAATATGAGATTGTATATTTGAGGATGACTTAAATGAATTAATTTATACAAGTTATACTGACAATATACATATACATTTCGGTAGCTTACTCATAAGAACTTCACAGTTAAGCGTGCTTGACCTGGAGTAGTACAGGGATGGGTGACCTTCTGGGAAGTTTCCCAGAAATTGCACAAGTAAGGTTAAAACACACTAAACAATGAAATATCGTGAAATAGAACCCTTGAGAGGCCAAATACGAGGGTTGTTACATTAATAAATTTATTAAAATTAAAAAAAAAATTATAATTTTCGGGTAATTTCCCACGGATAAATCCGTGGGAAAATCCGTGGGAAAGTTACCCACGGATAAATCCGTATAAATTTATTAAAATTAAAAAAAAATTATAATTTTCGGGTAATTTCCCACGGATAAATCCGTGGGAAAATCCGTGGGAAAGTTACCCACGGATAAATCCGTATAAATTTATTAAAATTAAAAAAAAATTATAATTTTCGGGTAATTTCCCACGGATAAATTCGTGGGAAAATCCGTGGGAAAGTTACCCACGGATAAATCCGTGGGAAATTACCCACGGATAAATCCGTGGGAAAATCCGTGGGAAAGTTACCCACGGATAAAAATCCGTGGGTAAATTTCAGACGACCAATTTACCGACGGATTAGTGTCCGTCGGTAATCCGTCGGAAATGCCTCATTACCCACGGATTTTGGGCATTTCCCACGGATTTTTGCCGTCTGAAATACTGAATTTTCTTGTAGTGCTCAAAGTGAGAAAAATCACAAATGAAGTCATTTTTGCCTAACACACAACAATTCATCCCATTTTGCACCTTAAATATGATAAATAACCTTCTTGATTAGATAAAAAATAATAATTTAGTGAAACACATTTAATGCTCACATTTAATACACCAACAAATTGAACACCTCATTCTACAAGGAAGAGAAGACGAAGAAAAAACAAACAAGACTATGAGCGAAGCTCAAGGATTTGTAACAAGCATATTCATCAAGTATCTATATAAAGAAGTTTGAATACTCAAAAAGAAAAAAAAAAAAAGAAGAACAATCATTGTAAAAATTCATTTCATTCTTTCTATAAAACTATGTACATAATTTTTGTTATATCACGTCTTGTGAGTAAGATAAAATAATTGTTATTACTCAACTTTAACTTTGTGTTATAATTTAAAGTTTAAAGAGGCTTTGTTGCAAAAAAAATATTTAGTTGTTAAAGCCTAGATCCGGAGAGGCTTTGTTGTTCAAAGAAAACTTGATTAACTACTTGAAGAGGATAATCAAAGAATAGTTAAGTTGATTCAGAAATGGCTAGTATAAAAATACTTATATCTTTACAAAGATTGTGGAACTTGATCGGTTTAATTAAGAACTGAATGTAATATCGGTGTTTGAAACAAATTAATATAAAAACATTTGTGTTCTTTGTTCTTATATTTTCATATGCAATCTTTAAGATTTAAAATACTACTTTGTTGTTTCTAAAATTATTGAGTTTTTGATTGAAATTATTTAACTCCACCTCTAATGTCTTTCTTTTTTCCATTATTTCACTATAAAAAATATTACATATAGTGACATACAAAAAATATCACTATAAGTATAATATATGTAAGTATATATCTATTTAACATATAACTAAACACAATTTTAGGGTTAATTTTGAATGAGATTTAACAACATATTTTTTATTTCACTATAACTTATACACACACTTTTTAACAATATATTACCAACATATATTGTATTTATTATGTAGGTAAAAGTAATTTTTAGTAATACATATTGTATCACTACAGGATGTGTGTCACTATATAATAATTTTCTTGTAGTATTTGTTCTCTTGAGCTGTTAGTAGCATTGTCCCTTGGTCAAAGATCTCATCCTCTAGATGGGTCAATAATCATCTTGTGGTTTGCTTGGTGTACGTGAAACCTCTTATCTTCAATAATAAAAAGTGCTCTAACATGGAGGCTTATATGTGATTGCCTTAAATGTGGATGGAAGTATGCATGGCGAGCCTTTGGCGGTTGGTTTTGGAGGCTTAGGTCGAGATTGGCAGATTAGGTTCTTATTTGGCATTTATGGTCGGGTGCATAAAATGGACATTCATTTTTGTAGAGATTATGACTCTACTGCAAGGGCACCGCATATGCTAGGAGAAGGGGCACAAGAAAGTATCTTGTTTCTAAGATTCCACTTCTAGTTGTTAAGCTAGTCATGGGTCCAATATAGCCATCGTTATGCCAACGAAATCTTTCTCATTAATGAACTCATAGATTGGAACTGGGAGTGTAGCTTGTAAAAATCAATGTGCATATATACTTGCAAAAATGGGATCTTCTTTAGATAGCCTGTTGTGGTTGGTTTTCTTGCTTTTGTTTTTTTCTTCTTCTCAACCATGTAAAAAAAATGTCAAAGTGATGTATGATCAACTCTCTCTAAAAGTGTCAATAACAATTCTTTTGGTGACTTAGGTAAAACAAAGTTGTATTTGAGCAACCAATTACTTATAAACTTAATTTAAGTAATGTCTGAAGACAAACCAACTAAACATCTAAAGAAGAACCAAAATCAAAGACAGTAATCTCTCAGTAGAATTGTAATCGGAAAAGAGCATCATTGCTCAAAATGATCCTAATTTGTTGAAAAGCTCAACACCTTTAACATTTAAGTGAATTCATTTTTAAACTAATATAAAACTTGTATGGTAAAATTATTTTGACTATGAATGAATAAAACACATGCAAAAGAAATCCCTTTATTTATATATATATAAATAAAGGGATTTCTTTTGCATGTGTTTTATTCATTCATAGTCAAAATAATTTTACCATACAAGTTTTATATTAGTTTAAAAATGAATTCACTTAAATGTTAAAGGTGTTGAGCTTTTCAACAAATTAGGATCATTTTGAGCAATGATGCTCTTTTCCGATTACAATTCTACTGAGAGATTACTGTCTTATATATATATATATATATATTTTTGAAATCAATATAACACATAAATATTAAAAGTTAAAAATTGACTCTTCTAGTCAAAATAATTAATACTTTAATTTGAGTAAGTTTATTAAATGTATATGATGGCACTACTAACTTAATTATAAATCTAATAATATATCTCTCAAAGTCTGAGTAGAAAAATACTCTAACCATGGTAAAGAGATTAGTCTAAACATCTCACCCAACTCTTTCATAGAAGGGTTAATCACAAAACAACCACTCATACTTTAATTCTACAACGCCATTGTAATACAAACGCATAAAAGCTACGCAGATGTTTTGATAATTGCTTGATCAACCATATAAAGTGTAAAAAAATGTGTAAATTTTACAGTTGAATGAGGGTAAATAAAATGAAATTTACAAACACAATTAAGTTAAAATAAAATATATATTAATTTAAATATTTTTTCAATCCCTCAAATTTAAAATTGATCTTTTTGGTATTTGTAGTTTAAAAATATCTTACTTTAGTCCTTATACTAAATTTTCTTTAAGAAATTTATCAAATACTATTATACAAAATCTATCTATTAGTGTCTCTGTTAGTGAAAATATAACACTAAGTCTAGTTGATACTATATAATTGTTTCAATTTATCATTTTCAGATATATTATTGATGATTCGAGAGATTAAAACAAGATTTTTCAAAAATACAGAGACTAATAAAAGTAATTTTAAATTTGAGGGACTAAAGCCAAATTTACTCTAAATTTGATAAAGTAAAAACATATTTAAGTCTAAAATATTAATAACAAGAAGATTCAATAATTAAGGGTTTAGTTTAAAAAGTCATATAGTAAAAAGAATAGATTGATTTGATTAAAGATAATCATAACAATCATTTCTAAAGTGATAATTTTGAATATTTAACAATTGTCCTTATTGAGAGCTCTGACCACCACTTTTATGTTCCTTCTTGTAATAAAGATAATGAATACTAATGTGTTCTTGCTTCTAGCTAATGAAACAAATCACCTACTTATCAAGATAAGCCTCAACTTCATCATCAACATGACCACACTTCTTAGACCTTAGTAGGGGTAGAAAGAGAAGCTCCCTCACTTCCACCACTAGCTAAAGAGCCAATGCTAGATTCATGTCTACTAAAGCATTTACTCTACTAACTTGTTAGGGGCAATGTAAGGCTTCTCATCATTCTAAGCTCTATATCACTTTTCTCAAGTTGGACCTACACTTTTATAATGTGCAGCCCTTGCCTTCTTATCCTTTTCAGTATAAGAAACTGGTGAATCCCATAATAGTTAACAACTTGCTTGATCTTCATGCACAATCCATTAATGAACTTAACACACTTGGATCTATCCCCCTCTCAAGGTTATAGTAAAAGAAATACCATGATAATTCCTCAAACTTTATGGCATACTTCGTTATAGCCGTGTTCCCTTATTTGATCTCCAAGAACTCCATCTCTTTTCAGTTATGGTTGTCCATGAGAAAGTACCTCTTCAAGAACTCCATCTCTTTTCAGTTATGGTTTCCACCAATACTTAGCCTCTTCAAAGAGCATGAAGGTGTCAAGAGCCACCTTTTATCTTGTTGCAACCGCACAAAATTTTTCTCAATTTTTCACACCTAACTTTGACCTCCATCAAGATCATAACCCCCTAGAAGATAAATGGATTTTTTTCTTAAAAAGTTAATCCAAACGATTATATTAAACTAATCCACCAACGGTCCCATCATTTTAATTCCCCACAAACGATGTTAAGGCTTGTAGAGCATCAACAATTTCACGATCATTCCTACCAACCATTTACTCCTTTAATCTATTGAGATCATACAATAAGTAAATAAAAGGTAAGATGAAAACAAAATAAACAAAGTAAAACAGGTTAGAGTATACATGGAAAAACATAGAAAACACATAATACATTATCTAGAAAAATTGACTTACTTTGATACTACTAAATATAATACCCTTTGCTCCTATATAATTATTATAATAAATAAAAAGGAATTTTAACAATTAAACATAAAGAACAATGGGATTTTCTCAAAATTCTATAATCAATGTTCAAAGTTATAATGTTCATTTTAAATCTAGTTAAATGAATCCAATATATAAAATGAAAAACCAATAACAATGTTTAAGTAACCAAGCCATACATAAATTTCAAACTAAATAATTAAATATAAAAATATAGAAACAACTAAAACAAATAATGTCCAAGTCCTAATATGTGATTAGTTATCAAAACATGGTACACACAAAGCTATAGAAAAAGAAGTTAAAGCCTCGTCACCAGCATGAACATCTACTTAATCTTTACTTGCAAATAAGAATCAACCTAAACAAAAATAAAACAAACAAACAAAATACATGAGATACATCTCACTCATACTCCTGGTGTGAAATAAGGTCGGGCAACCTCACTCAAAGCAATAGTATAAACATATAATATTCAAACATATATATTTAATATAAACATACACATATTTTTAGAGACTTTTCTTCAACGAGAGAATTTTTATGAATTCTTTTAACGTCTTATTTAATTCAATTTTTATTTATTTTAATTATTAGTGAATTAAATTTTAATATTTTAAAATAGATTATCAATAAATAAAAATAATTTTATGTTATAATATAAATTAGTAAAAATATTTATTTATATAAATTTTAAATATAATTTATATATTTAAATATAATATT